CTACAGGCTGCAGCAACGTTTCCTGGCCACCATGCTGGAAGTACACGACAAATGATCGCCCCGTACTGGCAGTCCAAGGGTGAACACAAGACGACAAGACCTGCCATGTTGTGCGACAGCATGTACAGAATCCCTTCATGCAGACATCCGAAACAGCACGCCTGTCAGTGGGAACACACGGAAGACCAATCAGTACTGATACAGTACCCTACTTGATGTCTCCCCAAATCGGTTGCATTCATCTACCAGATGTCTCTGCAAATCAGTTGCATTCATCTACTAGATGTCTCCACAAATCAGTTGCATTCATCTACCAGATGTCTCTACAAATCAGTTGTATTCATCTACCACATGTCTCTACAAATCAGTTGTACTCCCCTACTTGATGTCTCCACAAATCAGTTGTATTCATCTACTACAGGTCTCCACAAATCAGCATTTGCATCTCATCTACCAGATGTCTCTACAAATCGGTTGTATTCATCTACCAGCACGCCTGTCAGTGGGAACACACGGAAGACCAATCAGTACTGATACAGTACCCTACTTGATGTCTCCCCAAATCGGTTGCATTCATCTACCAGATGTCTCTGCAAATCGGTTGTATTCATCTACCAGATGTCTCTACAAATCAGTTGCATTCATCTACCACGTCTCCACAAATCGGCTGTATTCATCTACCAGATGTCTCCATAAATCGGTTGCATTCATCTACCACGTCTCCACAAATCGGCTGTATTCATCTGCCAGATGTCTCCATAAATCAGTTGCATTCATCTACCACGTCTCCACAAATCGGTTGTATTCATCTACCAGATGTCTCCACAAATCGGTTGTATTCATCTACCAGATGTCTCCACAAATCAGTTGTATTCATCTACTACAGGTCTCCACAAATCAGTTGCATCCACAAATCATCTACCAGATGTCTCTACTAAATCAGTTCCATTCATCCACCAGATGTCTCTGCAAATCAGTTGCATTCATCTACCAGATGTCTCCACAAATCAGTTGCATTCATCTACCACATGTCTCTACAAATCGGTTGTATTCATCTACCACATGTCTCTACAAATCCGTTGTATTCATCTACCACATGTCGCCACAAATCGGTTGTATTCATCTGCCACTTACCACAATGCACCCAGTGAGTTTGAGTCACGAATACATGTTTTTACATAGTTTTATTAAAGGTTGAATGTGTCACTGGAGTCTTCACACAAGTCCTTCACACAAACTACAACACACACAGGAAGTACAGATTTGCCACAAACAATAAAAATACTCATGATCACATACAAACAACATTCAGTGAGGCACATTGGACATATAGCTAAACATCAACCTCAGACGAAGGCACAACTGTACGACGTTTCACGCTGCAATCAGCTGTTCGTACGAAATACACACGACGACCTCATTGTTACCCGAACATTTCTCATGTATCAAATCTATTAAAATGAACCTATATTTATTCATTAAAAGGTTTTTTAACTACATTTAAAGGACATGATGCTAAATAAGTAAGTTGTAAGAGAAATTGAGATGGTCATGTCACTTCTAAATTGAAACTGTGATGCCTCAGCAATATTCCAGCAATATCACCGCGAGGGACAAAAGCAATGGGCTTCACACATTGTAACCATATTGGGAACTGAACCCAGGTCTTCGGCGTGACGAGCCAACGCTTTAACCACTAGGCTACCCCACCGCCCGGAACATTCTGAAGTACATTCTAAAAGTACAAAGGTTTCAAGATAATTACTCAAAAATTACAAAATAATATATAATATTCTGAAAAGACACAGCTAATATCGCCATGGTTATCTCACAGGTAATGATGCAAAGTTATGTTAAGATGTTTTGTCACCATCAAGGGAAGGAACCTCGTTATTATAAACCTAGATGGTGAAAAGTATTGATACAACCAACAAAATGGTACAACTTTACTTAAGCTTATACATATGTATACTAGCCACATGAAGAAACTGTGCACACAGAAAATTCCTTCAGAATTGGAATACAACACAGAAAAGACGAACTGATGTAGACACTTTATAAGCTGAAGTATCGGGCCACAACATCATGTCAAAGAACATGAACAATATCCGTAACGATGACGTCAGAAGTTCAAAATTGAGTAGGGGTCACACGACGAAGTCACAAAGTCAATAACAGGTATGACCATCATGCGCGTGAAGCACAGCAGTGCATCGACGACGCATATAGGCTACCAAATAAGCATTGAAGGCCCGGGGAATGGTTTGGGACGTGGTCACTGCCGTCTGGAACCTGTGTCTGAGATTATTCACCCGAATCCATCTGTCCTGTCTTGGCGTCGTTACTCGGGGACGCCCAAAACGTGGGTGGTCGGCGACGTCATTACTGTTTCCATAACGCCTGACCAATGCAGATATCGTGTTACGATGGCATTGGAAAGTGCTGCCACCTGTTGTTGGCTCATGCCTGCTCGAACCATTCCAATGGTTTCGATTTGTGACGTTGAGCAGATGTTAATTTTGGCATGATGTGCATGTGACTTCTCATGTGAATTTGTGAACGTTTGAATGACCACAGTTCAAGCTTTCGACAGTTACAGCAATTTCACATGTTTCACATGTTGTTGTGCAGCTGCACAGGCTGCACATGCAGTAACACATTGCAAGTCCATAGGCCACCATCAATGACGTCACATCGCCTGGCACCTGCATGAGCGTTTGATTGTTTCCAATACTTGCTATGTTCACACCTTTATTTATGTATAAAGACACTGTCTGTCTATCTTTATATTTTCTGTGCACAGTTTCTTTATGTGGCCAGTATATTTCAGGAAAATGAGTTAAAATATTTGGAGTCACACTCATAAACAATGTAGCAGGACATACAGATAAAACACAGACAGATGACAGATTGGTATTGCCACTGCCCGTCACTAATTTCAAAAAAATACATGGTTGGGTGTAGTATATAATTAGCTTGAATATTTACAAGTTGTGACATCAAATTGATCTGCCGGTTTGTCGCTTTACAACAAGCCAAGGTGCAGTGGTAGATAACATATGAATGAATAGATATACTTATTGATGTCACCCTGTAATAACACAGTTCTGAATGGATAGTGAACAGCAGCTTTGGTTTTCCTTGTATTCGGCTGAAAAGGTAAAAATTGAATGATTGAGTTTAGTTTTATGTCGCACTCAGCAATATTCAAGCAACATGGCGGTGGTCTGTAGATAATCTAGTCTGGACCAGACAATCCAGTGATCAACAGCATGAGCATTGATCTATGCAATTGGGAACCGATGACATGTGTCAACCAAGTCAGCCAGCCTGACCACCCAATCCCGTCAGTCGCCTCTTACGACAAGCATGGGTTACTGAAGATCAATTCTAACCCGGGTCTTCATGGGTGATAAGGTAAAGATTTCATGTACTGAGCAGGAAAATTCTAAACTTCTTTCAAAGGGAAACATGATGATTTGCTTATGCTATATAAAAAATGAATATGGATCTGATGAAGTTTCATCGAGGCAGATCCAGGTATATGGAGGGGAGATAATCCTGGATGTTTTCTCTGCATGCTTCCAAGATGTCTATGAAACAGTTCACTATCAATACTGATGACATTTTAAAAAATGGTTAAAAATTAAGCTGGGGGATTAAATACTCGTTGGCCAGTCTTGTGGACTGACGTACCCCTTGTGCAGGACTAGGTACCTATCATCTTGTCGGTAAATCACACAATATGCAGACAGGTCTATGAGTGATAGATAGTATGAGCACCGGAGAAAAGTCTGTGAGTGAACGATAGTATGAGTATCAGACTAGCATGTGAGTGATAGCATGAGCACCGGACAAGTCTGTGAATGATAGTATGAGTATCAGACTAGCATGTGAGCGATAGCATGAGCATCAGACAAGTCAGTGAACCATAGTATGAGTATCAGACTAGCATGTGAGCGATAGCATGAGCACCGGACAAGTCTGTGAACGATAGTATGAGTATCAGACTAGCATGTGAGCGATAGCATGAGCACCAGACAAGTCTGTGAGCTGTAGCATGAGTGCAAACACACACATCTTCGTCAGTTCTAATCCCTTTGTTTCAAACATGATTAAATCATTTTAATCTTATTTGAACAATCAATATATGAACCTGAATCATATCGCCTGATCTGAACTTTTAATACAATATCTGAATGTTTTTTCACTAGTTTTTCTTGCTTGGCTGTAGAAGTTTATATTGTTGGGTCCAAAATTGCTCGTTTAGCTTCGAAGCCAGTTATATACTACCCATCAACAGTTTACACTCACTTTAAACACTCATTATGTGTTATGTATATATATTCTCCACAGATTGATTTCTCCACTAACTTGGGGGAGCCAACTGCAAACCTTACACACATGAATTGCACCAGGATCATGCATCAAATTACTGAAAAGCATGTGCAAATATCGTGCATGTGAACAGTTGCGTTTTGGTGTAAAGTTTTGTTAAGAATTTGCCAATTTTCACTGACATTTATCATGACAATAATCTGTTCAACTTTACGAATTTGTTTTACAATACATCAGTTCATGTGTAAATAGTACCTTTAAACAGTTTAGAATATTTTGCAAAATATAGTTTAGAACAGTTGCCTGAAGTAAGTGGCTATATTTACACTAGTGAGTCTGAACTTTTGATGGGAAGTATATACAGACCCCTATACACAAAAACTGAAAAAGAGTTCCAAATGCTGTGTTACAGTGCATGGTGAAAATCAGTTGGTTGTGGTTAAAATAAGTTCCTGGGTGCCATGGTGAAAGAAACCTTAGCTTATAATGCTAAAGTATGGGGTTACGATCATCATCAGCTATATCAATGGGCGGTGGACACCAGAAATAGGCTTCACACATTGTACCCATGTGGGGAATCGAACCCGGGTCTTCGTGTGACGAGCCAATGCTTTAGCCACTAGGCTACCCCACATCCCCTAAGTACACAAAATCAAATATTATTGTACAGCATTTTAAAACATATTTTGTTCACAGGATGAATAGCAAACATTGGTGCAATATTTGCAACAGAAATGATGTGAAAAATGAAAATGATTTTACTGTATATGAAACTGACATTGTTACCTACAAGGTCTATCTTTTAATATTCAAATACAAATACAAACACACATTGTGAATATTCACTACATATGTGTGAATATTCATTACAACGCACACTACATATTGTGATATAGTGTAGATATTCTTTGGAATCAGTGAAAAGACCTCTTTCAAATAAATACACACACGATACAAATTGTGAATATTCACTGGAATATGTGAAACAGCTTCTTAAATATCAAAAGGCACATTTAAACTTCTTCAACAGAGCAGAATATCAAATATTATTGTATAGCATTTTAAAACATATTTTGTTCACAGGATGAATAGCATACATTGGTGCAATATTTGCAAGAGAAATGATATAAAAAATGAAATAATTTTACTGTATATGAAACTGACATTGTAACCTACAAGATCTATTGTTAAATATTCAATGGAATCAGTGAAAAGACCTCTTTCAAACAAATACACAATACATATTGTGAATATTCATTGGAATCAGCGAAAAGACCTCTTTTAAACAAATATACACACGATACATATTGTGAATATTCTTTGGAATCAGCGAAAAGACCACTTTCAAACAAATATACACACGATACATACTGTGAATATTCATTGGAATCAGCGAAAAGACCACTTTCAAACAAATATACAATGCATATTGTGAATATTCTTTGGAATCAGTGAAAAGACCTCTTTCAAGCAAATACACGCACAATACATATTGTGAATATTAACTGAAATCTGTGAAAGTACTTCTTTCAAACAAACACACACACGACACATATTGTGAATATTCACTGGAATCTGTGAAAGGACTTCTTTCAACACAAATACACACACGATACATATTGTGAATATTAACTGAAATCTGTGAAAGGACTTCTTTCAAACAAACACAATCTGTGCGATACATATTGTGAATATTCACTGGAATCTGTGACAGGAATTCTTTCAAACAAATATACACACGATACATTTTGTGAATATTCTTTGGAAATAGTGAAAAGAACTATGTCAAACAAATACACACACGATGCATATTGTGAAAATTCATCAGAATCAATTATCGTTAGTTTGAATCTTTCTAAAAATGATAAAATACAACTTGTGCATGTTAATTGGAATCAATGAAGGGTGCAAACAATGCTTGTGTTTACAATGTCAACAAACATGTTCTCATTTCTACACAATACACACGATACACACTGATAATAAATATGGCATATCTTTATTGTGTATTCCCCTTCAGCTTGTTGAGTAACTTCTGCTGGAGAGTCATCTCTTCCTTGGGAGTCTCCTCAACTAAATGGAAGCTGTCTTCTACAGTCTTACGGCAATACATGAAAAACAGTCGCTCGGACTTTGTCAAGATGTCATCCAGCTCAAACTTCAACCTGGAACACAAAAGTTGCATCATTATCTTCAAAATTCTTGCACTGTCTGCTGTGATTCACCTCAGCATGAACCACACCACTGCCTATATACATTACTATGTCACTGGGAATTTTGATTTATTTTGACGTAAGACAAGCCTTATATTTGCAGTAATTGAGAAATCAAACTGTTGAATCAGGATCTGAGTGAACTCTCCAACTTAAACCAGGGCTTGGTTCATACCAGATTTCTCTATAAGTTTGGATAATCATAGTGGTCAGTTTTACATGTTGATTTGTTGGTCAGAATGTGCAGCAAACATGATACCAGTGTCCACACAGAATAGACTGACGTTCCTCCACAAGTTCACTCACTGGTTGAGATAGTTGAGCATCAACATTATACCAGTGTCCACACAGAATAGACTGACGTTCCTCCACACGTTCACTCACTGGTTGAGATAGTTGAGCATCAACATAATACCAGTGTCCACGAGAATAGACTGACGTTCCTCCACAAGTTCACTCACTGGTTGAGATAGTTGAGCATCAACATTATACCAGTGTCCACACAGAATAGACTGACGTTCCTCCACAAGTTCACTCACTGGTTGAGATAGTTGAGCATCAACATTATACCAGTGTCCACACAGAATAGACTGACGTTCCTCCACACGTTCACTCACTGGTTGAGATAGTTGAGCATCAACATAATACCAGTGTCCACGAGAATAGACTGACGCTCCTCCACAAGTTCACTCACTGGTTGAGATAGTTGAGCATCAACATGATACCAGTGTCCACACAGAATAGACTGACGTTCCTCCACAAGTTCACTCACTGGTTGAGATAGTTGAGCATCAACATTTTCCAGTGTCCACACAGAATAGGCTGACGTTCCTCCACACGTTCACTCACTGGTTGAGATAGTTGAGCATCAACATAATACCAGTGTCCACGAGAATAGACTGACGTTCCTCCACAAGTTCACTCACTGGTTGAGATAGTTGAGCATCAACATAATACCAGTGTCCACACAGAATAGACTGACGTTCCTCCACAAGTTCACTCACTGGTTGAGATAGTTGAGCATCAATATAATACCAGTGTCCACACAGAATAGACTGACCTTTCTCCACAAGTTCACTCACTGTTTGGGATAGTTGAGCATCAACATAATACCAGTGTCCACACAGAATAGACTGACGTTCCTCCACAAGTTCACTAACTGGTTGAGATAGTTGAGAATCAACATAATATCAGTGTCCACACAGAATAGACTGGCGCTCCTCCACAAGTAAACAGGCAGAGCACACTGATCACCTACCACAAGTAAACAGACAGATCAGACTGACGATCTTCAACAAGAAAACAGACAGATCAGACTGACGATCTTCAACAAGTAAACAGACAGAACAGACTGACGATCTTCAACAAGTAAACAGACAGATCAGACTGACGATCTTCAACAAGTAAACAGACAGATCAGACTGTGATCTTCAGCAAGCAAACAGACAGAGCACACTGATGATCTTCAACAAGTAAACAGACAGATCAGACTGACAATCTTCCACAAGTAAACAGACAGAGCACACTGATCACCTACCACCACAAGTTAACAGAAGCCCGGATCAGACTGATCACCTACCACAAGTAAACAGACAGATCAGACTGACGATCTTCCACAAGTAAAACAGACAGAGCACACTGATCACCTACCACAAGTAAACAGACAGATCAGACTGATGATCTTCCACAAGTCAAACACAGAGATCAGACAGACGTCTCTTCCACAAGTCAAACAGGCAGATCACACTGATGATCTTCTAACAAGTCAAACAGACAGATCAGACTGATCACCTACCACAAGTAAACAGACAGATCAGACTGACGATCTTCCACAAGTAAACAGACAGATCAGACTGACGATCTTCCACAAGTAAACAGACAGATCAGACTGACGATCTTCCACAAGTAAACAGACAGATCAGACTGACGATCTTCAACAAGTAAACAGACAGAGCACACTGATCACCTACCACAAGTAAACAGACAGACAGAGCACACTGATCACCTACCACAAGTAAACAGACAGATCAGACTGACGATCTTCAACAAGTAAACAGACAGAGCACACTGATCACCTACACAAGTAAACAGACAGAGCACACTGATCACCTACCACAAGTAAACAGACAGATCAGACTGACGATCTTCAACAAGTAAACAGACAGAGAAAACTGATCACCTACCATAAGTAAACAGACAGATCAGACTGACGATCTTCAACAAGTAAACAGATCAGACTGATCACCTGACCACCACAAGTAAACAGACGGATCAGACTGACGATCTTCAACAAGTAAACAGACAGATCAGACTGACGATCTTCCACAAGTAAACAGACAGATCAGACTGACGATCTTCCACAAGTAAACAGACAGATCAGACTGACGATCTTCAACAAGTAAACAGACAGATCAGACTGACGATCTTCAACAAGTAAACAGACAGATCAGACTGACGATCTTCAACAAGTAAACAGACAGATGAGACTGATCACCTACCACAAGTAAACAGACAGATCAGACTGACGATCTTCAACAAGTTCACCCACCCACTGACACAGATGAACACCATCCCAGTGTCCTTTCAGTCAAACAGACAGATTAGACTGACGATCTTCAACATGTTCACTCACCCATTGACACAGCTGAACACCATCCCAGTATCCTTACAGTCAAACAGAGCATCGCGGAACTCCATGAGCAGAGCAGCACACATGAACACCTCGAACGTGTAATCCTTCTGTGGCATCTGGGTGGTCCGTGTGTCGCCACCTGAAGACAGCGAACAATGGAACATTATCTTACAGGTACACTTCCAGGTAAGTCCCCCTCAAGGTGTTTCTGACAGCGACTGCTTTGTGAGGTGAGGTGAAATTGGGTTTAACGTCGTGCTTGAGAATATTTCGCTCATATGACGACGTGCATGCGTGTGTATGTGTATGTGCGGCTGCTTGTACTAGCCCAGACTGAAGCTGGTTTTATAGTGCTAGCCCACTGAGATAACATGCCGCAGTGAAGCATGAATACCCCACTCAGACACAGTATACTGACTCCGAGCCGACCAGTCCTTGTTGTACCCATTAATGCCGGGCGCCAGACAGGAACCAACAAGTACCATATTTTAACGTCTTTTGGTATGACGCGGTCGGGGATCGAACCCGCGACCTACCGCTCTCCGGGCGGACGCTCTAACCACTACACCACAGAGGCGGTCGCGACTGCTTTGTAGTGTTGGGAATTGGTTAAAATCTCATAATTTATGATTGGTTCATTACTACCAATCAATCATCGAAAATGATTGGATAGCATCATTTATGAAATTTGTTAATGCACATAAAAATAAGGAAAAAAACCATGTAGTTCTTTTGGGATTTTTTGGCAATATCTCACATCTTTAAAGGATGACTAGTATGTTAGGAACATAAATTTCTTAGAATCATTAGATAAATTCAATCATGACTTGAAACGAGCTTGTAGTGCTTACAAAATGTAACAGACAAAACCAACCATGTGAAAAATATTGTTAATGGAAACAAGTGTTCCAGAATTGTTTGTGTTTGATTATGAGAAATTATGATCGATTCCTTGGTCGTTTAGCCACTATGACCAATCTCCGATTATTTCAATTAATCGGACCACCACTACTGCCTTGACCCCAAATACCTGTATCCTCCCCTTTAACGTACTACGTGGCCACAAGGTGTGACTTTACGCATCATCATCTGCACATACAATGTTTTCTGCTCAAATGAGTGAGTGAGTGAGTATGGTTTTACGCTGATTTTAGCAATATTCCAGCAATATCACGGCGGGGGACACCACAAATGGGCTTCACACATTGTGCCCATGTGGGGAATCGAACCCGGGTCTTCGGCGTGACGAGCGAACGCTTTACCACTAGGTTACCCCACCGCCCGTTTTGCTCAAATGAGATAGTATGGTTTTATGTTGCTTTTAGCAATATTCCAGCAATATCATGGCGGGGGACACCAGAAATGGGCTTCACACATTGTGCCCATGTTGGGAATCGAACCCGGGTCTTCAGCGTGACGAGCGAACGCTTTAACCACTAGGCTACCACACCGCCCCTTATGCTCAAATGAGATAGTATGGTTTTATGTTGCTTTTAGCAATATTCCAGCAACACCACAGTGGTGAACACCAGAAATGGGCTTCACACATCGTACACATGTGGCAAATCGATCCAAGGTCTTCAGCATGTTCAGAGGGTGCTTTAACCACTTGGCTACCCCACTACCTGCTGTTATGCTCAATTTTCAAATCAAGGTGAATCTCTGCATATGAATGGTACACAGTATAAACATGGGGGTCTTAGGCTCGGGGGAGGATTCACAGAAAATCAACCTTATAACATTGTGAGCAACTTTTTACAAGAAGAGAAATATCAGTTTATGCAATTTATAATTTTGATGAATTTTAAGGATTCATATAAACAATCTTTTTGATCCCCTGGACTTTCAAAGAAAAATATTTGCAGATACGATATTTTGCATCCAGTTAAACCTTGCTCAAATGTGTATAACACAAAACACCACACAGAACTAGATTTCTGGTGTGTTCTGTCATGATATTGCTGGAATACTGCTAAAAGTGGGTTAGAACCATTCTCACTCACTCACAAACTCACTATAATGGCGGGGCCGTGGGGTAGCCTTGTGGTCAAAGTATTCGATCGTCACACCGAAGATTGGGTACAATGTGTGAAGCCCATATCTGGTGTCCCCCACCATGATATTGCTGGATTATTGCTAAAAGCGGCATAATAGCTATAACTAACTAACTAACTAACTAAAACTAACTAACTAACTCACTCACTCACTATAATAGCAATTTATCATTAATACCTGTATTTGCAAATTCTAACATCTCTTCTTTCCTGAGAGCCTTCTCCGCTTCAAGGGAAGATAACTCTAAATGATGACTAGAGAGAATTTCAAAACATCGTAAGGAGTCCATGAATGAGAACTCTCGCTTGAAGCCCAGCAACAACCACCTGTGAAGATAAACAAACTTTGCTAGAAAGGATTAATTTGTGTTTAATATACAAGGACATATTTGTATTTGATGCCAAGATATTCTAGTAAAAATGATAGTTTTAAAAATTTACTTCGTTTGTTTGTTTAAATAAGTCACATGCAGTAATATTTGTTGCTTTCTCTTCTTAAAATTTTTGTTTTGAAATTACAGATTATATCATTACCAAGGACGTTTCCTAACATTACAACCCGTGAAGATCCGGGTTAGAATTGATCTTCAGTAACCCATGCTTGTCGTAAGAGGCGACTAACGGGATCGGGTGGTCAGGCTCGCTGACTTGGTTGACACGTCATTGTATCCCAATAGAACAGTTCAATGCTCATGCTCTTGATCACTGGATTGTCTGGTCCAGACTCGATTATTTACAGACCACCGCCATATAGCTGGAATATTGCTGAGTGCAGCGTAAAACTAACTCACTCACTCCTAACATTACAAACCATATACTTTGCAAGGGATTCCTAGTAATGAGCTTGAGTGAGAAGGCAAATGAACTTCGTGTGACTGAAGAGTTTGTCAGACTAGTGACCTTACCTGTGACAAAAGAAGAGGTTGCCAAGTTCATGGGCTTCAAAATGCCGGAGTAAGACTGGGTCTACTTCACTGAGTAGCATCCTGACTAGATCTGAAACACAGAGCATCAAAATGAACGCCAAATGAAACACCATAAAATCACCAATTGGTACACCACATAGAATATCAGTCAGAAAACCACACAGAACACCACATAGAATGTCTCACAGAACACCACACAGAATGTCTCACAGAACACCACACAGAACATTGCTCAAAACATCACAGAGAACACCACAAAGAACATTGCTCAAAACATCACAAGAGAACACCACAAAGAACATCACACAGAACATTGCTCAAAACACCACAAACAACACCACACACAACACCACACAGAACATCACACAGAACATCACAGAGAACATCACACAGAACATCACAGAGAACATCACACAGAACACCACATGGAACATCACAGAGAACATCACACACAGAACATTGACATCACACAGAACATCACACAGAACACCACAGAGACACATCACACATCACAGAACATCACAGAGAACATCACAGAGAACATCACACAGAACATCACACAGAACATCACAGAGAACATCACACAGAACATCACAGAGAACATCACACAGAACATCACACAGAACATCACAGAGAACATCACAGAGAACATCACAGAGAACATCACAGAGAACATCACAGAAGAACATCACAGAACACACACACAGAGAACATCACAGAAGAACACCACAAGAACATCACAAAGAACATCACAGAGAACACTCACAGAGAACATCACAGAGAACATCACAGAGAACATCACAGAGAACATCACAGAGAACACCACATGAGAACATCACAGAGAACATCACAGAGAACATCACAGAGAACATCACAGAGAACATCACACAGAACATCACAAAGAACATCACACAGAACATCACACAGAACATCACACAGAACATCACAGAACATCACAGAGAGAACACCACAGAGAACATCACACAGAGAACATCACAGAGAACATCACAGAGAACACCACAGAGAACATCACAGAGAGAACATCACAGAGAACATCACAGAACATCACAGAATGACATCACAGAGAACACCACAGAGAACATTGCTCAAAACATCTCACAGAGACACACAGAGAACATCACAGAGGGAACATCACACAGAACATCACACAACATCACAGAACACCACAGAGAACAGAACATCACAGAGAACATCACACAGAACATCACACAGAGAACACACAATCAGAGAAACACCACAGAGAACATCACAGAACATCACAGAACACCACAAAGAACATCACAGAGAACATCACAGAGAACATCACAGAGAACATCACAGAACATCACAGAGAACATCACAGAGAACACCACAGAGAACATCACAGAGAACATCACAGAGAACATCACAGAACATCACAGAGAACATCACAGAGAACATCACAGAGAACACCACAGAGAACATCACAGAGAACATCACAGAAACACAGAACATCACACAGAGAACACCACAGAGAACACCACACAGAACATCACAGAGAACATCACACAAACATCACATCACACAGAGAACATCACAGAGAACATCACAGAGAACATCACAGAGAACACACAGAGAACACCACATAGAACACACAGAGAACACCACAGAGCTCACAAGAACACCACAGAGAACACACACACATGGAACATCACACAGAACATCACAGAGAACATCACAGAACATCACACAGAACATCACACAGAACATCACACAGAACATCACAGAGAACATCACAGAGAACACCACAAAGAACATCACAAAGAACATCACAGAGAACATCACAGAGAACATCACAGAGAACATCACAAAGAACATCACAGAACATCACAAAGAACATCACACAGAGAACATCACACAGAACATCACAGAGAACATCACATGGAACACCACAGAGAACATCACAGAGAACATCACAGAGAACATCACAGAGAACACCACAGAGAACATCACAGAGAACATCACAAAGAACATCACAGAGAACACCACACAGAACATCACACAGAACAAACACACAGAATGTCTCACAGAACACCACAAAGAACATTGCTCAAAACATCACACAGAACATCACACAGAACAACACAAAGAACATCACAGAGATCAACACACAGAACATTGCTCAAACCATCACACAGAACATCACAGAGAACACCACACAGAACATCACAGAGAACACCACAAAGAATATAACTCAAAACACCACACAGAACATTGCTCAAAACACCACAAAGAACACCACAAAGAATATAACTCAGAACACCACACAGAACATCACAGAGAACACCACAAAGAACATCACAGAGAACACCGCAGAGAACACCACACAGAACATAACTCAAAACACCACAAAGAACACCACAAAGAATATAACTCAGAACACCACGCAGAACACCACACTACATTGAACAATACATATAACAATCCTCTGAGATCACCACACAGATAAAGTTTAACTCCCTCATGGTATACTGCAAGTAAGTTTCTCTACAGTCTCTCACATTACCTATTTTCTTCACCATCCCGTCCTCTGAGAAGTCGTCCTCAATCTTCTCCATGTAGTTCTTGAAGCACCAGAATGTCTCCACCTGAAGCCAGGAAACACATACAGACTCAGGACACTGCCTTCAGTGGGCTACAGAAGCTGGGCACGTACCACACTGATGACCAAGTCCGTTTGATTTCATTCGAGACCGATGAATTGCTCATTAACACAAAATCTAATAACTGCAACAAAACCAAATTTCACACAGTCACATGAAATCGACAGACCAACTCTGATGACTTGTCTCATAGTTTTGGACACCCTAATAAAAAAGTTGCTTCACAAACGATAATTATTTTGTTGCCATTTTTCCCTATTTCTTACAAGGGGGACCACTTGCTGGTAGAACAGCCAGGTAATCAATAAGCGTGTGTTGTGAAATTCCGGTTTCCCACGAGCAACGACCACACATCCCTTCCATCCTGTCATCAGTTACTGTGCTCAGCAGACAGATGTTCCAAACAATCCACAAATATTAAGTTGCTCAATTTTGTCTGTTTTTTCGAAAATATGAATGCCAAAGTACTGACTTTTAATGTAAAGAATCTAATATTATGGATCAACCTGATGGGTTGGTTGGTTTGTTGTTTAACGTCGCACTCAGCAATATTATAGCTATATGGTTAGTAAATAATCGAGTCTGGACCAGACAATCCTGTGATCAACAGCATGAGCATCGATCTACTCAAGTGGGATACGATGACATGTGTCAACCAAGTCAGCGAGCCTGACCACCCGATCCCGTTAGTCGCCTCTTACGACAAGTATGGGTTACTGAAGATTAATTCTAACCCGGACCTTCACGGGTGAACCTGATGGGATGCATGTTGACCTCCTTTTGATGATGAAAGTAATTCATTGTTGACATTTACAACTTTTCTCAGCTGATAAGGGACACATGTCTGTACAACATAACTTATCAAATGGAGATTAGCATCCTGTTCAACATGAACACTGATCTGCTGTGAAACGGGCAGTACTCCATACATCTTTTACATGAGAGAGTGAATATGTTTTTGTGACGCTTTTATCAATATTCCTTCAATATCATGGCAGGAGACAACAGAAATGGGTTTCACACATTGTACCCATGTGGGGAATCGAAACCCGGGTCTTCAGCATGACGAGTGAACGCTTTAACCACTAGGCTACCCCACCGTCCACCTTTTGCATGATAGACCCGGGTTCGAATCCCCACATGGGTACAATGTGTGAAGCCCATTTCTGGTGTTCCCCGCCGTGATGTTGCTTGAATATTGCTAAAAGCGGCGTAAAACCAAACTCAGTCAGTCAGTCAGTCTTTTGCATGATGTGACTGGGAAAGTATACAATCAGCTAAAATGTAAAACAACTGCACTGATGGATTTCTACATAAATAATGACATGGCTGGGGTAAAATCACCAAAGTGTCGACAGACTCACCTCAGACTCCATAACGAAGAGGAACCGAGACAGAATGTCATTCATACCCTGGGCATATCCTAGTTTAGGATTGTAGACGGCACATGTTACTAATATATCTCTCAGCTGGGTGAGATGAGGGTTGCTTCTACCCCTGGAAAAAACAGGATCCAAGCTGAAGATTAATTTTTTATTCAAAGGAAGCAAATAAGAAATAGAAGGACCAGACAATCCAGTGATCAACAGCATGAGCATCAATCTACTCAACTGGGATACGATGACATGTGTCAACCCAGTCAGCGAGCCTGACCACCAGATCCCTCTAGTCGCCTCTTACGACAAGCATGGGTTGCTGAAGACCATTTCTAACCCGGATCTTCACGGGTTACCTTAGTGACTTACGATCACCATAGAGCTTTGTGAACGGAGGCCCAGGTCAACAAGCCTGAATGCCTGACCCAGTTAGTCACATCTTAGAACAAGCATGGTTTGCTGAAGACCAATTCTAACATGGATTTTCATGGATAAGGTGAGTGAGTGAATGAGTTTAGTTTTATGCCACACTCAGCAATATTCCAGCTACATGATGGCGGTTTGGACCAGACAATCCAGTGATCCACAGCATGAGCATGGATCTACGCCATTGGAATACTGACATTAATCGTCCAAGTCAACAAGCCTGGCCACCATATGATAACATGGGTTGCTGAAGACCAATTCTAACCCGCATCTGCACGGGTCCGGTAATCAATAATCACCGATCGAAGTGAAAAAATCCCTGCTAAGGTCTATGTGTATGAATGTTCGCAAACCACCTCTGTATGTACATTGTTAAACGTCTTACTCAAAGTATTCCACATCTCGGTCTGTTCTCGGCACATCCTTGTCGATCACGCGGATGTTAGTCCTCATCTCATCTACGTCGATCTTGTGACGGTTCACAAACACCTGGAATACACAACACCATCATGTTGACAGGGGTGGAAATAACTTTAAAATTGCTAGTGTACTCCGGTACAGTGGCACATGTAAAATCACTTGCCCTGATAATTTTTCCACTATACCGGCCGTTTTCTAGTTGATTTTTAAAAAAACCAACTTAATTAATACTGGAAAGTCAACTGGACACTGGTACAGTGTGATATACAAATTTGCTTGCCCAACAGAAAAAACCACTGGACTCGGGCGTCGGGCAATTGGTTATTTCCACCCCTGTGTTGGTAGAAAATACATGCACGCACATGCACACGCACGCACAAAGAAATTCACAAGGGATCATAAAGCAAAATCTCATTACATTTTAAACAGATTGTGAAATTGTTATATCTGATCAATGTTGTAAAACAGGTGTTTTTCAAATTATAATCTTAAATTAAAATGAGAGAAGAGTAATAAATGATCATGAGTATTATTATTATTATACTTTAAATGCCTCTCAAGAATCTCACAATTATAATTTGTTTGATTTTATACATAATTTTCAATAATCCTCTGCTTGACGATGTGGACTTCAACTGTGAAGAATTCCCATTATGAAGCAAGGAATCTGAAAGATCTATTTTCCTGCATCAGCGGACATCTACTTAAGGGAAATTGACCTGTATCATAAATTGTATCTATGTAATGTGAAAAACGAATTGCTTGTTTTTGAATTAGGTGCTATGACATATTCTGTTTGTAAATAACATTGTAATGAAGGTGTTAGTCTGTCTCACAGTCCCTGAACCACATTAATTTCCCTACTGCCAAGCCCTCTCTGCAGTGCTAAAGCCCTAAATAAAGCAAGTCTAGATTTCCTCAGGTTCTGAATCTCTGGTCTCCCCAGGGCTCCTTTTCAAAATAAATGGGCTTGTTTGTTACTATCAAAATTATATATATTCAGAGACTAAGCCTTAGTCTATGAAGGTGTATATGTTTTCAAGAAACTCATTTGGACTTTGTACTCAAAATGTTCATGAATGCAGACTTGTTCTCGTCACTATATGGCTGGAATAATGCCGATGTGATGTAAAGCCCAACTCAACTACAAAACTAGTTTGTCAGCGACGGGCTTTAACTTCATCCGGCGATCTGATTGGCTAACACTTTTAAAACTCAACTCCGGCCCCGACGGCCTGCAATAATCCTCACCATCATGCCCTTTTAGATTATGAGGTGCCCTTTTCTATGAAGTTACTCTGCCCTTACTGAATCCAAGGGGAAACGCTACTGAACATTGACTAGCAGCTCGTAGCACAATAGCAGCTCTTTCAAAGGATAGTGAGTGAGTGAGTTTAGTTTCACACCGCACTCAGCAATATTCAAGCTATATGGCAGCGGTCTGTTAATAATCGAATGTGGACCAGACAATGCAGTGATCAACAGCATGAGCATTGATCTGCGCAATTGGGAAACGATGACATGTGTCAACCAAGTCAGCGAGCCTGACCACCCGATCCTTTTAGTCGCCTCTTACGACAAGCATAGTTGCCTTTTATGGCAAGCATGGGTTGCTGAAGACCTATTCTACCCCGGATCTTCACGGGTCTTCATAGGACAGGGATTCAGCTGGATATAATTCCAAATCATCTCTTTACCCATACTATTTCAGACATGTGTGTAAAACTAGAACCAAGTTCATTTTGTGTTGTTTGCATAAAAATACCAATATAATACAAGAAGGCAAAGTCATTAAGATCCCCCGCAATGGTAAAATACTCTCCATAAATATGTCAACTAGTTATGTCTAGGTCAAATGTTACATTGTTCTTCACACTGATCTAACGAAAACATATATATGTAAACTATTCATATACTAGCATGCTTGTATCAACAATAGACTGCCTGAGTGCTTCTACGGTTTGATGTGGTGGTGGTGGAATTGGGTTTAACGTCGTGCTTGAGAATTTTTCGCTCATATGACGACGTGCATCGCGTGCATGCATGTGCGGCTGCTTGTAATAGCCCAGACTGAAGCTGGTTTTATAGTGCTAGCCTACTGAGATACCATGCCGCAGTGAAGCATAACACATTATACTGACTCCGAGCCGACCAGTCCTTGATGTACCCATTAATGCCAAGCGCCAGGCAGGGACCAACAAGGACCATATTTTAACGTCTTTTGGTATGATGCAGTCGGGGATCGAACCCGCAACCTTCCGCTCTCCGGGCGGACGCTCTAACCACTACACCAACGGTTTGATGTACCTCAGCATTCTTGACAATGGAAATAGAGTGGTACTGTTGAACACCCACAAAGTGGAATTAGAGTATTGAAAGGTTTGCTCCAGACTACCACAACCATCAGTTTAAGTTGAAGTCAAACTTGTTGCATGGAAAAGCAAAAAGACCTATCTATGTGCACCAGTTTGGTGAAGAAACATTGAACAGGTTTTTTTAAGGTTCTGCTCCAGAAAAAGGGGACTACCACCAATTTCAGTCGAAGTCAAACTTGTTGCAAGGAAACACAAAAGATATTTAATTCAGAAATCCCAAACTACCAAAATGCAACAGTTCACCAAATGTTTACATACAGGCGTGAAACATGGTTTGGTCTGCTTCGAAGAAACCATGCCTCAAATTTTCACGGGAGGAAATGGAGCGTTTCGTGACGCATTATCCGAGTCTCTAAACACTATGGAATATCATAAGCAGGGATTATTCCAAAAGAGAAATGAGATGGTTGTATGCGACAGAGAATCAATCCAATCTTTCTTCCAACAACTTCTGTGTTTCTTCACTTTGGCATTGCCATCTTCTTCACACAGTATCACACAGGTGACTGCTGCTTTGATGATTCAGACATTTTGATAAGATGGAAACCGCGAGATATTATGAGATCGACACTAATATCAGCATATCAAATCGTGTGGTAGCAATTCGATCATTTGTGGTTACCACCACAGAACATGTTTTACAATGTATGGAAACTGGCAATCCGTTATGACATGCTGACACATGTGAGTCGCGCTTAAGATCTACGATTGTGAGTGAGTGAGTTTTATTTTTACACCGCTTTTAGCTACATTCCAGCAATATCACGGCAGGGGACACCAGAAATGGGCTTCACACATTGTATGTGGGGATTCGAACCCGGGTCTTTGGCGTGACAACTGAACACTTTAACCACCAAGCTATCCCTTCGCCCCAGGTCTAAGACTGACCCTTACCTGGGCCTGTAGTTTCATGAACTCGAGTTTCTGTTGAATCTCTTCCATGGAGTACGTGTCTGTGAGGTGCGTCTCCAACAACAGCGCAGCATCCACGGGGCCAGACACCACCCCCGCTGCTGCCATGTGCATTCCCTCAGGGGAGGTGTCGAAGGTGGGGCGGGCGGCACAGATCTCGGGGCTAACCGGGGGAGTGTTACCCTCCTGAGTCTGGTACTTGGCAATCAAACCTTGTTCCAGCGGAGTTGCTGAAACAGATGGTGAGGTGACGGAAATGGGGTTTATTGTCATACTTGAGAATATTTCGCTCATATGATGACATGCATGCATGTGTATGTGACTTAAGGTGATTTTATAGAGCTAGCTCACTGAGATAACACGCCACACTTAAGCACGAATACCCCACTCAGACACGTTATACTGAGCCGACCAGTCCTTGTTGTACCCATTAATGCCGAGCGCCAGGCAGGGAACAACAAGTACCATAAGGTCTTTGGTATGACACGGCCGGGAATCGAACCCGTGGCCTTCCCCTCTCTGGATGGACTCTCTAACCACTCCACCCTCTGCAATTGTGCCCTTCACAAAAACACCCTTCGTGATAATGCCCTTCATAACATCTTTCACGATACATACCTCTTGATAACACCCCTAGCAATAACACCCCTAGCGATAACACCCCTAGCGATAACACCCCTAGCAATAACACCCATTTGTGATAACACCTTTAGCAATAACACCCCTAGCAATAACACCCCTAGCGATAACACCCCTAGCGATAACACCCCTAGCGATAACACCCCTTGCGATAACACCCCTAGCGATAACACCCCTAGCAATAACACCCCTAGCGATAACACCCCTAGCGATAACACCCATTTGTGATAACATCTTTAGCAATAACACCCCTTGCGATAACACCCCTAGCGATAACACCCCTAGCAATAACACCCATTTGTGATAACACCCATTTGTGATAACACCCCTAGCAATAACACCCCTAGCGATAACACCCCTAGCAATAACGGCATTGTGATAACACCTTTAGCAATAACACCCCTAGCGATAACAGCCCTAGCGATAACACCCTTAATAGTAGATTTTGAGTATTGATTGGAATTTAATGGAGTATCAGTAATCTTGTGTTTCGTTTCATATATGCACCACAACATTGCTACTCAGTACTCTTTTGTAAACAGGTAGAAAAACATTAAAACAAAACTTTTTCAGATAAATACATCTGTAAATGATTCTAAGACCATACACCATTGCTGTGGTGCGCATCTGCTACGTTTTCTAAATTATTTCTTACCGTATCGTGCACATATTGTATCCGTACATACGCCGATATGGCCCTTATCTGGAGCAATGGAGGATACTACCTCTACTCTAAATACAGAAAAGTAAGATCCACTTACATCCTGGCCGGGATACTACCTCTACTCTAAATACAGAAAAGTATGATCCACTTACATCCTGGCCGGGATACTGCCTCTACTCTAAATACAGAAAAGTATGATCCACTTACATCCTGGCCTGGATACTGCCTCTACTCTAAATACAGAAAAGTATGATCCACTTACATCCTGGCCTGGATACTACCTCTACTCTAAATACAGAAATGTATCATCCACTTACATCCTGGCCTGGATACTGCCTCTACTCTAAATACAGAAAAGTATGATCCACTTACATCCTGGCCTGGATACTACCTCTACTCTAAATACAGAAATGTATCATCCACTTACATCCTGGCCTGGATACTGCCTCTACTCTAAATACAGAAAAGTATGATCCACTTAGATCCTGGCCTGGATACTGCCTCTACTCTAAATACAGAAAAGTATGATCCACTTACATCCTGGCCTGGATACTACCTCTACTCTAAATACAGAAAAGTATGATCCACTTACATCCTGGCCTGGATACTACCTCTACTCTAAATACAGAAAAGTATGATCCACTTACATCCTGGCCTGGATACTGCCTCTACTCTAAATACAGAAAAGTATGATCCACTTAGATCCTGGCCTGGATACTGCCTCTACTCTAAATACAGAAAAGTATGATCCACTTAGATCCTGGCCTGGATACTGCCTCTACTCTAAATACAGAAAAGTAAGATCCACTTACATCCTGGCCTGGATACTACCCCTACTCTAAATACAGAAAAGTATGATCCACTTACATCCTGGCCTGGATACTACCTCTACTCTAAATACAGAAATGTATCATCCACTTACATCCTGGCCTGGATACTGCCTCTACTCTAAATACAGAAAAGTATGATCCACTTACATCCTGGCCTGGATACTACCCCTACTCTAAATACAGAAAAGTATGATCCACTTACATCCTGGCCTGGATACTACCCCTACTCTAAATACAGAAAAGTATCATCCACTTACATCCTGGCCTGGATACTACCTCTACTCTAAATACAGAAATGTATCATCCACTTACATCCTGGCCTGGATACTGCCTCTACTCTAAATACAGAAAAGTATGATCCACTTACATCCTGACCTGGATACTGCCTCTACTCTAAATACAGACAAGTATGATCCACTTACATCCTGGCCTGGATACTACCTCTACTCTAAATACAGACAAGTATGATCCACTTACATCCTGGCCTGGATACTGCCTCTACTCTAAATACAGAAAAGTATGATCCACTTACATCCTGGCCTGGATACTGCCTCTACTCTAAATACAGAAAAGCATGATCCACTTACATCCTGGCCTGGATACTACCTCTACTCTAAATACAGACAAGTATGATCCACTTACATCCTGGCCTGGATACTGCCTCTACTCTAAATACAGAAAAGTATGATCCACTTACATCCTGACCTGGATACTGCCTCTACTCTAAATACAGAAAAGTATGATCCACTTACATCCTGGCCTGGATACTGCCTCTACTCTAAATACAGACATGTATGATCCACTTACATCCTGGCCTGGATACTGCCTCTACTCTAAATACAGAAAAGTATTATCCACTTACATCCTGGCCTGGATACTACCTCTACTCTAAATACAGAAAAGTATGATCCACTTACATCCTGACCTGGATACTGCCTCTACTCTAAATACAGAAAAGTATGATCCACTTACATCCTGGCCGGGATACTAACTCTACTCTAAATACAGACATGTATGATCCACTTACATCCTGGCCTGGATACTGCCTCTACTCTAAATACAGAAAAGTATGATCCACTTACATCCTGGCCTGGATACTACCTCTACTCTAAATACAGAAAAGTATGATCCACTTACATCCTGGCCTGGATACTGCCTCTACTCTAAATACAGAAAAGCATGATCCACTTACATCCTGACCTGGATACTACCTCTACTCTAAATACAGAAAAGTATGATCCACTTACATCCTGACCTGGATACTGCCTCTACTCTAAATACAGAAAAGTATGATCCACTTACATCCTGACCTGGATACTACCTCTACTCTAAATAGAGAAAAGTATGATCCACTTACATCCTGGCCTGGATACTACCCCTACTCTAAATACAGAAAAGTATCATCCACTTACATCCTGGCCTGGATACTACCTCTACTCTAAATACAGAAAAGTATGATCCACTTACATCCTGGCCTGGATACTGCCTCTACTCTAAATACAGAAAAGTATGATCCACTTACATCCTGGCCTGGATACTACCCCTACTCTAAATACAGAAAAGTATGATCCACTTACATCCTGGCCTGGATACTACCTCTACTCTAAATACAGAAAAGTATGATCCACTTACATCCTGGCCTGGATACTACCTCTACTCTAAATACAGAAAAGTATGATCCACTTACATCCTGGCCTGGATACTACCTCTACTCTAAATACAGAAAAGTATGATCCACTTACATCCTGGCCTGGATACTGCCTCTACTCTAAATACAGAAAAGTATGATCCACTTACATCCTGGCCTGGATACTACCTCTACTCTAAATACAGAAAAGTATGATCTACTTACATCCTGGCCTGGATACTACCCCTACTCTAAATACAGAAAAGTATCATCCACTTAGATCCTGGCCTGGATACTACCTCTACTCTAAATACAGAAACGTATCATCCACTTACATCCTGGCCTGGATACTGCCTCTACTCTAAATACAGAAAAGCATGATCCACTTACATCCTGGCCTGGATACTACCTCTACTCTAAATACAGAAATGTATCATCCACTTACATCCTGGCCTGGATACTACCTCTACTCTAAATACAGACAAGTATGATCCACTTACATCCTGACCTGGATACTACCTCTACTCTAAATACAGAAAAGTATGACCCACTTACATCCTGGCCTGGATACTACCTCTACTCTAAATACAGAAAAGTATGATCCACTTACATCCTGGCCTGGATACTACCTCTACTCTAAATACAGAAATGTATCATCCACTTACATCCTGGCCTGGATACTGCCTCTACTCTAAATACAGAAATGTATGATCCACTTACATCCTGGCCGGGATACTACCTCTACTCTAAATACAGAAAAGTATGATCCACTTACATCCTGGCCTCGATACTGCCTCTACTCTAAATACAGAAAAGTATGATCCACTTACATCCTGGCCTGGATACTACCTCTACTCTAAATACAGAAAAGTATGATCCACTTACATCCTGGCCTGGATACTGCCTCTACTCTAAATACAGAAAAGTATGATCCACTTACATCCTGGCCTGGATACTACCTCTACTCTAAATACAGAAAAGTATGATCCACTTACATCCTGGCCTGGATACTGCCTCTACTCTAAATACAGAAAAGTATGATCCACTTACATCCTGGCCTGGATACTTCCTCTACTCTTAATACAGAAAAGTATGATCCACTTACATCCTGGCCTGGATACTACCTTTACTCTTAATACAGAAAAGTATGATCCACTTACATCCTGGCCTGGATACTGCCTCTACTCTTAATACAGAAAAGTATGATCCACTTACATCCTGGCCGGGATACTACCTCTACTCTAAATACAGAAAAGCATGATCCACTTACATCCTGACCTGGATACTACCTCTACTCTAAATACAGAAAAGTATGATCCACTTACATCCTGGCCTGGATACTGCCTCTACTCTAAATACAGAAAAGTATGATCCACTTACATCCTGGCCTGGATACTGCCTCTACTCTAAATACAGAAAAGTATGATCCACTTACATCCTGGCCTGGATACTGCCTCTACTCTAAATACAGAAAAGTATGATCCACTTACATCCTGGCCGGGATACTGCCTCTACTCTAAATACAGAAAAGTATGATCCACTTACATCCTGGCCTGGATACTGCCTCTACTCTAAATACAGAAAAGTATGATCCACTTACATCCTGGCCTGGATACTGCCTCTACTCTAAATACAGAAAAGTATGATCCACTTACATCCTGGCCGGGATACTACCTCTACTCTAAATACAGAAAAGTATGATCCACTTACATCCTGGCCTGGATACTACCTTTACTCTTAATACAGAAAAGTATGATCCACTTACATCCTGGCCTGGATACTGCCTCTACTCTTAATACATAAAAGTATGATCCACTTACATCCTGGCCTGGATACTGCCTCTACTCTTAATACAGAAAAGTATGATCCACTTACATCCTGGCCTGGATACTACCTTTTACTCTTAATACAGAAAAAGTATGATCCACTTACATCCTGGCCTGGATACTGCCTCTACTCTTAATACAGAAAAGTATGATCCACTTACATCCTGGCCTGGATACTGCCTCTACTCTAAATACAGAAAAGCATGATCCACTTACATCCTGACCTGGATACTACCTCTACTCTAAATACAGAAAAGTATGATCCACTTACATCCTGGCCTGGATACCACCTCTACTTTAAATACAGAAAAGTATGATCCACTTACATCCTGGCCTGGATACTACCTCTACTCTAAATACAGAAAAGTATGATCCACTTACATCCTGGCCTGGATACTACCTTTACTCTTAATACAGAAAAGTATGATCCACTTACATCCTGGCCTGGATACTGCCTCTACTCTTAATACAGAAAAGTATGATCCACTTACATCCTGGCCTGGATACTGCCTCTACTCTAAATACAGAAAAGTATGATCCACTTACATCCTGGCCTGGATACTGCCTCTACTCTAAATACAGAAAAGCATGATCCACTTACATCCTGGCCTGGATACTGCCTCTACTCTTAATACAGAAAAGTATGATCCACTTACATCCTGGCCTGGATACTGCCTCTACTCTTAATACAGAAAAGTATGATCCACTTACATCCTGGCCTGGATACTGCCTCTACTCTTAATACAGAAAAGTATGATCCACTTACATCCTGGCCTGGATACTGCCTCTACTCTAAATACAGAAAAGTATGATCCACTTACATCCTGGCCTGGATACTGCCTCTACTCTTAATACAGAAAAGTATGATCCACTTACATCCTGGCCTGGATACTGCCTCTACTCTAAATACAGAAAAGCATGATCCACTTACATCCTGACCTGGATACTACCTCTACTTTAAATACAGAAATGTATGATGCACTTACATCCTGACCTCGAAACTTACTCTATTTTAAATACAGAAAAGTATGATCCACTTACATCCTGACCTCGATACTGCCTCTACTCTAAATACAGAAAAGTATGATCCACTTACATCCTGGCCTGGATACTACCTCTACTCTAAATACAGAAAAGTATGATCCACTTACATCCTGGCCTGGATACTGCCTCTACTCTAAATACAGAAAAGTATGATCCACTTACATCCTGGCCTGGATACTGCCTCTACTCTAAATACAGAAAAGTATGATCCACTTACATCCTGGCCTGGAGCTCAGTACAAGCATGGTCTTCCATCTCTGTCTCAACTCATGATATTTCACAATGTAGTCCAACAGGATTGTCTCCCTTTCTCTGCAACCGGAAAAATCAGGTCAGTCTAAACTCTAGAGCTGTAGCAATATTGAATGATTCCTACACTAGCGACATTATGTTTGGGAAACTTTTTGGGAATGTCAGACAAAATATTCATGAACAAGTTTCAACTTTGACAAGTTAACAATTATATATCTTGCTTGTTCAATAAACATATATTTGATAATATGCCCTGCTGGCCAAGGGAGCCATGCCAATTTACTTTAACAGTGCACAATGTACAAGATCTGAACTTGCTTTTAGTACATGCTAACATAGCGCTATTCAAAGAACACAGGGGGTGGTGGGGTAGCCTAGTGGTTAAAGCGTTGGCTCGTCATGTCGAAGACCCGGGTTCGAATCCCCACATGGGTACAATGTGTGAAGCCCATTTCTGGTGTCCCCCGCCGTGATGTTGCTGGAATATTGCTAAATGCGGCGTACAACCAAACTCAGTCAGTCAGTCAGTCAGTCAAAGAACACAGACTTCAGCTGGAAAATGAGGTGTGACTCTGATGACTACACAGACAGTGATTGAATTACTGTTACTGTTTATGTAACATGTGAGGTGAGGTGAGGTGAGGTGAAATTGGGTTTTACGTCGTACTTGAGAATATTTCGCTCATATGACGACGTGCATGCGTGTGTATGAGTATGTGCGGCTGCTAGTACTAGCCCAGACTTAAGCTGGTTTTATAGTGCTAGCCCACTGAGATACCATGCCGCAGTGAAGCATGAATACCCCGCTCAGACATATTATACTGACTCCGAGCCGACCAGTCCTTGTTGTACCCATTAATGCCGAGCACCAGACAGGGACCAACAAGTACCATATTTTAACGTCTTTTTGGTATGACACAGCCGGGGATCGAACCCGCGACCTTCCGCTCTCCGGGCGGACCCTCTAACCACTACACCACGGAGGCGGTCTCAGGGTTGACTGACCTGCTGGTGGAGGTGCAGGGGTACAGGCCAAACACAAACTGCCACACCTGCTTCCTAATACTGGGTTCCACACCTCCTGAAACATTCCAGAGTTATCTCCCTTGTCAGTCATTCCGATTTCACATTGTCTGAATGTATTCAGTAAAGACCAATTTCATTTCTTGTTTTACGGATCCGCCGGTCGTTTTTTCAAGATAAGAAAAAAAATATAAATTTATTTTCCCCGCTTATTGGCAAAAAATGGAAACTTACAAAAATTGTTTTGTTGTTTTTTGCCCCGTATACACTTCATAACTTGCCAAAAATAAAATACTTTTAGTATGCAAAGGGAATATTACTTTGACTGGTGATTTATATTTTTTATCTTTTTCCCTCCTGCCTTAAGGTTTTCTGAGGACAAAAATCTGTAAACAAGAAATAAAATTGGTCTGGCCTTACCCAAGAATACAGTTCTCCTCAAGCCATGTTCATCAACAAGCCTCCCATCGGCGTCCAGAAACTGCAAGAACTTCTCCTCAGTGAGGGGGGCAGTTCGCTTGCTGACAGGGACATCCTCCAAGATCTGGCCGTCTATCTGAGGGGGGGAGGGTTTTGCCGGGACGATGTCGATTCTCTCAAACGATTCATCCGAACTGCATGGCCTGGTTAAAAGACACAATGATAATAGATATTTACACATTTACTCAATAAACCTTTGACGACTTTACTTTCATAGGACTGCCTGACTGACTGACTGAGTTTAGTTTTACGCTGCATTTAGCAATATTCCAGCAATATCACGGCGGGTGACACCAGAAATGGGCTTAACACATTGTGCCCATGTGGGGAATCGAACACGGGTCTTCGGCGTGACGAGCCAACGCTTTAACCACTAGGCTACCACACCGCCCCTTAACATCTTTAAAGGATGACTAGTATGTTAGGAACATAAATTTCCTGGAGTCTTTAAGATAAATTCAATCCTGACTTGGAATGAGCTTGTAATGTTTATGAAATGTAAGAGACAAAACCAACCTTGTGAAAAATATTGTTAATGCAAACAAGTGTTCCAGAATTGTTTGTGTTCGATTATGAGAAAACATGATTGATTGCTTGGTCGTTTAGTCATTACGACCAATCTTCGATTATTTCAATTAATCGGACTACCACTAGAATTCGGACACCTGGTAGACTAGACTACAGTCTTTGTGTACCCCTCTGACAAGAGTAACTTGGCATGGCTCCAACAGGTAAAAGCTATGAATACACAATGCCATTTAGAAGTGGTCAGATGTGACACATGTTACGTATGGGATTCCACTTTCTCATTAAAGTACAAATCATAGTATGGGTTCGAATCCTGGAAGGGCGGTACTTTACTGAGAAGGTGTAATCCCAAACATAACCTGTGTTTACAGACTTCTGTCAACCAAGTCGCTGAGCCTGATGACGTTGGCTGTACGATAATTATAGGTTGCACCTTTAGAATACAGCACCACAAACTCTCATGCGGACGGTCTCTGTCATAGGTCACGTGTCACTAAGACAAGGAACCAGTTTTGTGAGAATCCGTCGGACGAGAACCTGCAACCTTCGGATTGTTAGCCCGACAGCTAACCGACTGAGCTACGTCCACACTGTTACACAATGTGCATATTTATCTAGTCATTCCTGAGACGTTACAGAAAGCATCGAATAGGTCACAGACAATTACAAAGGTTACGGGTAGACTTGGTGTCTCATGATTTTAATCTACAGACAATATCCCGGTAACCCTTACTCACAGAGAGTCACATCAGGATACTGTGCTACATGAAAATGTTGCTGTAAGCACCATACACGGTTTTACACAGACTTTTAAAAATGGGAGTCAATGGTGACTCACAATATTTATTTTTGGGAGTCATGAAAAGTTTAATATTTCTTTGTGTTAATCATTCTCAGTATGTAACTGTCTATGTCACACCACCAAATGAAACTACAGCATTGTTCAATTCAAACAGCCAGGATTACTGTCTCCTCCGAGTTCTCTGGAACAATCTGACAATATCATTTTTTGCTTATGGAATCGATTTTATTGAACTGTTGTGACTGACTGACTGACTGACTGAGTTTGGTTTTACGCCGCTTTTAGCAATATTCCAGCAATATCACGGCAGGGAACACCAGAAATGGGCTTCACTCATTGCACCCATGTGGGGATTCGAACCCGGGTCTTCGGCCTGACGAGCCAACGCTTTAACCACTAGACTACCCCACCGCCCCGAACTGTTGTGAGGGTCACCCATAAAACTTGCGTCAAGCTTGACTCGTATGATAATATTTTGAGGGTCGTTTACAAAATTGTTGCGTCGAATACGCAAGAATAACGCGTCATGTTAAACCCTGACCATATCTTATTGGGTCTATGGTTTAAGGGATGGATTATAGCAGAGACCATATATGGTCTCTGATTATAGAAAGGTGAGTGGTATCTTATGTCACATCATCATATTTCATCCAACAATATTTATAACATTCTCTTCCTAATGCAACATAACATGAGTTGGTAGTATTCATGGGGGATTTTTATATATGAGCTTGAGAAAATCTAACAACAACATTGGGATAATTAGAAACAGATGGCAGACTTGTTAGCAACTGCAAAAACAGGAAATATTTCATTTCAAATATGTTGTTTACACATATTTGTTTTTGAGGCATACGCTAAAGTATAATATTTCGATAAACACGGATGCTGACACAGTTCCATACAACACAAACACACATCCATTGTTACAACAGCAAACCCTCAAAGGAAAACAAAACCTCTTTCGGGCCCCTCCCTCAACGGGGAGTTGGTTGTAAGTTGATCTCATGGCTTACGAATGATCACTGACAATTGTAAATTGGTTGACAAATCCAGCAGTGGCAATGTCAAAGAAAGTGTTAAGAAGACCTGACATAGTTTCATTATCAGAAATAACTGATGGTTTTATCAGCTGTCAAAATACCCACCTCTGATAGATGTTCGTCATAATTGCCAATCAGAGTTACCTCCCCTGAATAGTGCATGCCTAACAGCTTTCTATGTATATAGTATCTAAACTTTGATTTTAAATTGTTTGCTCTTCAGTATTTTAGCTATATGACTGCGGTCCAGTGATTGACATCATGAGCATCGATCAGTGCAAGTGACATAACATGTATCAAGTCAGCGAGCCTGACCACCCGAGTCGCCTCATGCGTAAAGTTCGGACATCAACTAATTCCTACTTCTGCATGGGGTAATTTTGTAAATATATTAGTCTCGCCGACTTGTTAAGTTATAATACACTTTTAAGTCATGCCTGATAAAAATGTTCATCATATTAGCACCTTAATGATGAAACCCATGGCTGTATGATCCCCAGGGAGTTGAAAAAGTATTGGATAGTACGATGGTGTCCTATGACCGGGGATAGTAATGTACGTAGAGCCGTCAGCAGGCAATGTGCCTGGATGTGAGCGCCATATAAGCGGACTATTACTGTTACTGTTACATTCAAATTTCGGACTACTAGTGAATTATTTTGTGGGCTAGTAACTTTCAGGCATAGCTATCCCGACTGGCTAGCAAAATTTGGAAACTATTTCGCACGCTGCAAAGCGGTATTAAACTCGACTAACTCACTCACTCAATCACTCACTCGCCGAATCACCCACTCACTCACTCACCCATCCACTCACTCACTCACTAACTCTCTACTCACCGTTTACACGCCATGATGGGAGCGACGCATTCTCAGAAACACACATATACATCTGTTTGACTAGCAGCAGGAAGCTAGTTACAAGATTGCTGGATTATTTTGGGATATGTTTACTTTCATTTTCAGAGCGTGTCAAGAACAAGGAAGTAGATGTGGTTCTTTCAAAGGACATTATTTGCACATTTCCAATTTGAACATAATTTCCTTAAAATGCAAACAATCAGGATGATTGTTATAATCAAGCAAAGTTTATTATTTGAAGCAATGGAAAACTCTTTTCGAGCTTGTTTTGACACGTTTGTATATGCCGTTTGAAAAAGTAAACGATGTAATGAAGAGCTTTTTATCATACAAAAGTTTAATATTATTAGACGATAAACCTTCTGCGTTGTTTTAGTGTAGTTTTAGGGGCGGTGGGGTAGTCGTGGTTAAAGTGTTCACTCATCACGCCGAACACCCGGGTTCGGTTCCCCACTTTTACAGATCAACATGCTGATTTTATAAATTTGAGTTCACTATAGATTCGATATTTCTTCTGGTTTGAAACTTCGATCATTAACGTTTTTTGACAATATCTCGTGAAAAATAAATACTTTTTTCTCTTTTCCAATGTTTCTTTTTTTTTAAACATTTATTTATTTTAGTTATTATTATTGTTTGTCTCATACAAATTCTTTGTAGAATAATAATACAAGAATATATAAGAATAACGGATTTGTATAGCGCCCAGTGCTGAAATTACAATCTGATTAATTATTATTACCGCGGATAACCCAAACAGCTGCCTGTGAGGTGCTAGAAGGTTAATAGTCACACCGGGTGACTTATCACACCGGGGACCCATTTTCTCCTGGGTGAACAGAGGCAATTTTGAACATACTGACACCTCTGTGCCTAGCTGTCTGCGTGCCTGTCACAGTTTTACATGCACACGAATGAACTCCGCAGATAAGGACCAAGGGATGTTTACCCAAAACGTCAGCTGCAAATAAAATGATTTGAAAGAAATATGTCAACCGAATGAGGTTCGTGTGAGATCAACTTATATCAATATTAATATATCGCGAGGTAGATAGTATCCTATTGGAAGCTCTGCATCATCACATGCTACTACAATAACGTGCGAACAACCCTGTTCGGAACTAAAGATCGGTCTGCCGAATGGTCACGAGTTGTTATTGAGTCATTACGACCAAATCCGTGAACGTATAAATATAGATCGGTTAATTCATGTATTTATTACTCAGACAGAGTCTCATGTTGATGATTACAGCGTATACAGAGAGATGTTACAAATGTCATTTTATAAAGGTTTACATCATGTAGAATACGTGATGATGTTAGCCAACTCCATGCTTGTAAGAGGCGACTATGTGTACAATGGGAACGGGTGGTCGGGCTCGCTGACTTGAAAGTGCAGCGTTAAACAGCAAACACATATCGATTAAAAGATTATGCAAGGACACTATGCTAAATACATTTTAGAACTGACACAGTTTTGTAATTGGATGAATTACGCCAATGACTCTTGATATATCCCGGTGTCAGGGGTTTTCGACGATGTAAGGCAAAAACGTATTTTTTATCTGTAATACCATTTAAAGTTCTTATTTTACTGACGTTGAGTGATAAAGGATATATTCATCTATTTCACATAAAAATATCAAGCGTTCCCTACAAATATAGTGTTGATGGCATCGTATCGGCGAAACTGTTGCCGCTCGTAACATGCGGGTATTTAGTATGGGTTTTCGACGAGCCATACTTTTTGCTCCGCACTACGAGGTAGTGTTGTGATCACGTGGCTTCCTATTTATATATTGCCTGTCACCAGCAGACGACTGATCTAACTGAATTTTCGCTTGCTATTTTTTGTTATAAAGGGAACTGATTTTGCATCGTAAGTGGTATTAACGATCTCGGGTAAATAATATTGATGTTTGTTTGCTTTTTATATAACTTTACTTCCCGATTTCCATTGTCAATAAAACTTCTCACGACACCGACTGGGCACCCGCCCTACCAGTGAAACTGTTTGTGCACTCCGATCGCACACGTACTCCCCCGATATAGCGCGTGCAATGCAATCGTCGAAATCACCAGAACGTCGAATTCAGCTCGTGTTGGGATATATAGTTCATAAACTCAACACGAAAGTGTTAAATTAAAATAAAATATATGCAAAACGCCTTGAATTCAAACTCACTTGTAAACACATCACCTGCTCTTCTGGTCCATGATATGCATACATACATATATGTTATTGCTTATATTTTTGCTTATATTTTGTTATTGCTTATTACCCGTGAAGACCCGGGTTATATTAGTGACTAACAGGATCCCGAATATGGTCAGGCTCGCTGACTTGGTTGACATTTGTCATCGAATCCCAGTTGCGTAGATCGATGCTCATGCTATTGATCACTGCATGGAGTGTCTGTTCATGCTGTAATCCAAACTCAATTATTTACAGACCGCCGCCACATACATACAGTTAGAATATTGCTGAGAGCGTCGTTTAACAACCAACCATCCAACCAATCGCATGCTTTTATTCAATTATTTTTCTTGCAGCTGATTAGCCGAAATATGTCGATAATGCACTTAAATCTCTCTCTTTCCTGTTTTCACCGTGTACTACCCGTGAAGGTTCGGGTTTGATCCCGCCAATCGCTATACTTACGTCAAGCATGCATGCATTTGGCTGTTGAAGACCAATTCTAACCTGGATCTTCACGTGTTTCATAATCTGTAATCATTGGCAATGTTGAGGGTTGCGGCCAATAATTCTGAGTTCGAATCCCATTTTCCCGAGGCCTAACTTTGGTTTCACCAAAGTAGACCAACGTCACATTGTTCCTTACCTCTCTTCCCCACATGGGTACAATGTATGGAACCCATTTCTGGTGTTCGCCGCCGTGATATTGCTGAAATATCGCTAAACGCAGCGTAAAAACATGCTCTCCCACCAATCCACTCACTCACTCACTCACTCACTCACTCACTAACTCGCCCACCCGCTCTTTCACCCACTCAACCACCCACCCATCCACTCACTCACTCACTCACTCACCCACCCACCCACTCACTTAGTCACCCAAAAAACCCCACCCACCTACCCACCCACCCAATCACTCACTCACTCACTCACTCACCAACCCACTCACCCACCCACCTTCTCACTCACTCACCCACCTTCTCACTCACTCGCCCAATTACTTACTCAATCACTCACTCACCCACCCACCCACTCACTCACTCACTCACTCCCGCGTCAAGTATACACGCCGTGATTCTGCTGGTTTACTGATCAAAGCTGCTTTCAACTAACTAACTCACTCACTCACTCACTGTAAGCTGCACGTTAGCATTTCGTATTTGATCTGCTACTTACTTGTACAAAAGTCTTACACAAAATGTTCTTTGAAGCATTTAATTACTACGCAGTTCATTCTCTCGAGTGCCTGACCTCCAGCTGAAAGGCCAGCCATATTAAACATCGTGTTTGTAAAAAGCCATACAGACAGCCTTCTATTCAACCATCTTTCAAGTTGTTTACATACATGACAGCAAATATGAATATTTCATAGCTCATCGTACTTCAGAGGATCTTAAGTGCAAACAAAACCCTCTTGCTCGAAAGTTCATTTCATGTTATCTGAAGAGGAAAATATCTAGTCTTTGTCACATAAAAGATGTTTTCGTTTACTCAAAAACGCATTCGGTGCATTAAATACAAACGTTCGAAAAGAACGGGATTAAGGGCGTTGTGCTGCGAGCAGCTGTTGCTCTCTGTTGTACTTCATAGCAAGTATAGGGCGGTGGGGTAGCCTAGTGGTTAAACGTTCGCTCGTCACGCCGAAGGCCAGGGCTCGATTCTCCACATGGGTACTATGTGTGAAGCCCATTTCTGGTGTCCCCCGCCGTGATATTGCTGGAATATTGCTAAAAGCGGCGTAAAACCATACTCACTCACTGTAAATTCAAGCATATCTGCATGGAATATATCATTAATATTGTGTTGAAGGTTTATATATCAGCAATTATAAATGGTTACCTTTATAGACATATATGATGTAATATTTCATATCAGCATATACGTATATTTTTCCAAATGAATGTTTTTCAATTGTTTCAATCATTTATCAGCAATAAACTTGGCCATAATGCGAAGAAAACCGGTGTCT